TGTGTGTGTGTGTGTGTGTGTGTGTGTGTGTGTGTGTGTGTGTGTGTGTGTTTCTGTGTACACCCACTCCCTGTCTCTTTCAATAACAGTGAATGCAACTCTCATTTTTTCTCAATCCAACTTACAGTACCACCGTACCTGCTCTTCCTTTTCACATAGGCTCTCTCTAAAGATGATAATAATAATAGATAACAGATAGCATTTGTATAGCGCAAATCCCTCGCTCAACAGCAAGCTCTATGCGCTTCACAATCTATACTATTACCCCAGCAGACCTGAGAGTATTCTGAAGCAACCTCAACTTCCTGGGAAGCATACAGTGCAAGCAGCCATTTATAGGCGCTAAAACACTAACATACTGACAAGAATTTTCGCTGTCTGTGGCCGGGTACCCATTCCCAAAGATCTTTCTTGTCCTCTTATTTCTCTTATCGCCACCGCCGTCATTCTTCAACGACTGGCTGTAGTAGCAGCGTAAGCTCATTACCCTTTTCCATTGATGAAACAACCATGAAGAAAGATGCTAGTTGCAACATAGTGAGCAATGTGTGGACGAAACAAAGCATTTTTAGAAAAATAGGGGAAAGCAGTTTGCGAGGATTTTTTAAAGTTAGGTCCTAGCCACATGGATGCTGTGGACGCCTCCAGAGTTTCAAAGGTGTGGGTTTGGTAATAAGGGAGGAGTTTGTGCACAAAGCCTCCCAAGTCCACTTTTATATATATATATATATATATATATATATATAGATTCTACATAAAACAACAAACAATATGACACCTCAATGGTTACGACACAACTATTCTTAGGGACTGATTGTATGGCGTTTTGAAGCAAGATCTGGAAGTTTGGTGGCACAAAACGCAGTGCAAAAATTCGGCAACATCAGGGTAAAAGTTGATTCCCCAAAATGGTCACTGCTTCTAAACTAACCAAGATTGCACAACAATTTAAAAAGCTCTGAAAACAGAAAGACAAGCTCGTTCCTATACCCTTAATTTCAGTGCCCTTGGAGAAGTTTGAAAAGTTCAGTGAAGTAA